GCCCCAAAATACAATGCTGTCAGTAATAGGATAATATCCATACTCCTAGATGGAAGACCTGTTAATATTCCTATTATTTAAATTTACACGCCAACCACCAAAACCAAAGATGAGGAAATTGAAGAGTTTTATCAAGTTCTTGCAGTCTGAAATTGACTGAACACTCAATCAAGATGTGTTAATTATCACTGGTGACTGGAATGCAAATTTGGAACAAAGAAGAATTACCAGTAGTTGGAAAATTTGGCCTTGGTGACAGAAATAATGCTTGAGATAGCATGATAGAATTTTGCAAGACCAATGACATTCATTACAAAAACTTTTTTTAACAACACAAACAGCACTATACACATGGACTTTGCCAGATGGAATCCACAGGAATCAGAATGACTACATCTGTGGCAAGAGGCAATGGGAAAGCTCAATATCTTCAGCCAAAACAAGGTCAGGAACTGATTGTGGAACAGACCATCAACTGCTCATATACAAGTTCAATTTGAAGTTAAAGACAATTAAAACAAGTCCACGAGAGCCAAAATATGATCTAGAATATATCCCTCCTGAATTTAGAGACCATCTAAAGAATAGATTTGATGCATTGAACACCAGTGACCACAAAACAGATGAACTGTGAGATGACATCAAGAGCATCATCCATGAAGAAAGCAAGAGGTCACTAAAAAGACAAGAAAGAAGACCAAAATGGATGACAGAAGAGACTCTGAAACTTGCCCTTGAGCAGAGAGTACCTAAAGCAAATGGAAGCAATGACAAGGTAAAAGAGCTGAACAGAAGATTTCAAAGAGCAGCTCAAGAAGACAAAGCCAATTACTATAATGAAATGTGCAAAGACCTGGAGTTAGAAAGCCAAAAGGGAAGAACATGCTTGGCATTTCTCAAGCGGAAAGAACTGAGGAAGAAATTTAAGCCTCGAGTTGCAATATTGAAAGATTCTATGGGCAAAATATTGAATGATGCAGGAAGCATCAAAAGAAGATAGAAGGAATACACAGAGTCAATGTACCAAAAAGAACTGGTTGATCTTCATCCATTTCAGGATGTGGCAAGAACCAATGGTATTGAAGGAAGAAGTTAAAGCTGTACTGATGGAATTGGTGAAGAAAAAGGCTCCAGAAATTGACAGAATACCCACTGAGATGTTTCATCAAATGGAGGCCATGCTGAAGGCACTCAGTTGGCTATGCCAGGAGATTTGGAAGATAGCTTCCTGGCCATCTGACTGGAAGAGATCCATATTTGTACCCATTCCAAAGAAAGGTGATCCCACAGAATGTGGAAATTATTGAACAATATCATTAATATCTCATGCAAGTAAAATCTTAGTGAAGATAATTCAAAACTGGTTGCAGAGAACTTCCAGAAATGTAAGCTGGATTCAGAAGAGCATGTGGAATGAGGGATATCACTCCTGATGTCAGATGGATCTTAGCTGAAAGCAAAGAATACAAGAAAGATTTTTACTTACGTTTCATTGACTATGCAAAAGCATTTGATTGTGTGGATCATAACAATTTGTGGATAACATTGAGAAGAATGGGAATTTCAGAACACTTAATTGTACTCATAAGGAACACATACATAGACAAGGAGGCTATTGTTTGAACAGAACAAGGGGACACTGCTTGGTTCAAAATCAATAAGAGAGTGTGTCAGTGTTGTATCCTTTCACCGTATTCATTCAATCTATATGCTGAGCAAATAATCTGAGAAGCTGGACTCTATGAAGAAGAATGTGGCATCAGGATTGGAGGAAGAATCATTAACGAGATATGCTGATGACACAACTTTGCTTGCTGAAAGTGAGGATGACTTGAAGCACTTACTGATGAAGACTGAAGAATCCAGTCTGCAGTATGGATTACACCTCAATATAAAGAAAACAAAAATCCTCACAACTGGACAAATAAGCAGCCTCAGGATAAATGGAGAAAAGTTTGAAGTTGTCAAAGACTTCACATTGCTTGGTTCTACAATCGATGCCAATGGAAACAGCAGTCAGGACATCAGATGACATATAGCACTAGGAAAATCTGCTGCAAAGGACCTCTTTCAAGTGCTGAAGAGCAAAGATGTCTCCTTGAGGACTAAGGTATGCCTCATCCAAGCCATGGTACTTTCATTTGCCTCATATGCACGTGAGAGCTGGACAATGAATAAGCAAGACTGAAGAGAAGTCAATGCTTTTGAGTTGTGGTGTTGGTGAAGAATACTGGAAGTACCATGGACTGCTAAAAGAACTAATAAATCCATCCTGGAGGAAGTGCAGCCAGAATGCTCCTTGGAAGCAAGAATGGCCAGACTTAGTCTTACATACTTTGGTCATATTGTCAAAAGGGACCATTCACTGGAGAAGGATGTCATGCTTGGTAAGGTGGAGGGTCGACAAAAGAGGGGAAGACCCTCAACGAGATGGATTGACACAGTGGGAGTGGGAATGGGCTAGAATATAGCAGGGATTGTGGAGCTGGCACAGGACCCGGCGGTGTTTTGATCTGTGCATAGGGTCGTTATGAGTCGGAGAGTACTCGACGGCACCTAACTACAACAACAAAAACATAGATTTCTTGACTTTAGATAAGAATATATCTTTGAGCAATCTACTGCCGTAGTGATACTCAAAACTCTCACTGCTGTTGAGTCGGTTCTGACTCATAGCAACCCCTCCTTGGATTTCTGAGGCAGTATCACTATGAAAGTAGATTGCCTAATCTTCATTCTGAGGAGTGGTTGGTGGGTTTGAACCACCAGCTTTCTGATTAGCAATCAAATGCCTTAGGCACTACCCTACCTGAACTCCACCTTGGAAACCCAAGGAGGGATCTCTATGAGTTGGATCAAACTTGATGGCAGTGAGTTTGGGTTTGGTTTGGAGGTTAAGATAAAATAGTGGTTGAGTGACTTCCATAATCTTATTACATTTGTGAAGGAAAAGTTAAGAAATGAGATGGAGCTGGAGAGTGGATAGAAAACAAATGTGAAATATTGGACTGGAAGCACTGATGCCTTAAGCAATGGCCCTTCCCTGCTTTTCTTCTTTTGCTTCCTACTGAATTTCCAGAGTCAGTGAAGCTCAGCTCCCAGGAGGAACTGCTAACCATTTTTTTGAGCTGCTTCAGCATCTTTTCACATCAGGACAGAGAATGTTGAAATTGCATTTTCTTGGAATTTTTATGCCAGAGAGAATAAATCATATTGCTTTTCAAAAAAATAAACAATCACATAAATAACAGGGCCAGGCTGAGAAAGAGCCTCCATGGCATCTACAGGTTGGGTAATTGGGCCTTAGAGAAGGTAACTTGCCCTAGCACACTCTTTCCTGACTTGATCTGATGCCAGAATGAAAAGACAACTCAGGGCTGGTGGGGGCAAGTGCTTCAAGTAATATTGGTTTGGTAAGCCTGGATTTCAAGGGAGCTCAACTGCAAAGTATGATGGGCTACAGAGAGCAAGATCCAGCCTAGATGGAGATATGAAAAAAAGTGTTTCAGTTACCAGAGTTGGTGGTATAAGGGAAATGGGGCCATTCCAAGTCTTTTGTTCAAAGGACAAACAGGCACAGACAGGATTCAGACAAGCATCAGTTCCTAGGTCTGCAGTGTAGTCAGACTTAGATCTAGATCAAGATGGGTAGAATGTGGACGTCAAGGACCTGTGATAGCTGGTAGGACACTTGGGAAAGATGGCATTGAGGGTTTAACCTAAGCTGTCTATTCTCCCCAAGTTGGTTGAACATGTGTAAACAGATCTCTCATCCATAAAAACCAAATCCACTGCCATTGAGTCAATTCTGACTCATAGAAATCCCCATTAGGTTTCTGAGGCAGTAAATCTTTACAGAAGTAGATTACTCTGTTTTCCTTCCATGGAGTAGACCTTCTTAAATATAGAAGGATGAGTCTCTTGACTTGGAATAAGAAATACTGTGTTTTATTGGTAATGCAGTGGGGATGCCAAGATGCATGCCAGTGATATGTATCAGCCTGAGCAACCTGTCCATATGAGGAAGGAATCCAGCCAATGAAGAACTGAGGATGTGGATGAAAAGCTGGTCAATTAGGAGGAGGCCTGACAAGAGTGGGACAGGCCTGACCAAGAGGTGAGGCTTATAGGTGAGTCTGTGGCCCTAGAGAAGGCAGCACAAGTGCTGTTTGCTGCAGATAAGGAGGGGGACTAAATTCAAAGCTCCACAGGATAATGGGTCTGTGGCTCTTTATCATTCATTCACTCAACAATTGTTTACTGAGCACCTGCCAACTGTCGTGCACCATGGTAGGCAGTGGGGACATCATGGTGAATGAGATGACTCTATCCCCTGCTCCACCAGGGTTTACAAGAGAGTGGGAGGATCAGAAAGGAAGACAACTGACAGTACAGGGCCATTAAATGTGCCCTGATGGCATAATGGTTAAGTGTTAGGCTGCTAACCAAAAGAATGGCAGTTTGAACCTACCAGCTGCTCCATGGAAGAGACATGTGGCAGTTTGCGTCTGTAAAGATTACAGGCTTCGAAACCCTATGGGGTAGTTCTACTCTATCCTATTGGGTTTCTATGAGTTGGAATTAATGGGTTATCAGTGATGTAGGCACATCTAATTCCAGCCAGGAATGGGGGTAGCAATGAATGATTACCATTGATTAGGTGACCATGCTGTGCTAGGCACTGTGCTCAACACCTTCCTACATGGACTCATTTAAATCTTAGCACAACTTTATAATACAGGTGTTAATATTCTCATGTTACAGATAAAATTGGGGCTCAGAAGTCAGATCACCTGATCAAAGTCACACTGGTATTAAATTCCAGGATAAGGATTTGAACTCAGGTCTCTCTTGGCACCAAAGTCTGTGTTTCTTTGAACATCTCAAAGCCCATACATATAGAACACATACAGCCAGAAATGTGCTCCTGAAGATCTCTCTAGGATCATTCTACACGACGACACAAGAAACATAGCAGAGATTACAGCACAAGACAGAGGAAGAATTAAAATAGTGATTTTAATATAATTTTCAGCAAACGTACAGGATGTACTTTACATCACATATTTCTAAACTGCTCATCTGGAAAATATAAGCTGCAAAACTACAGAATACCACACTCAAAATCTATTGAGTATGTGTTTTTTTGTTTTGTTCTGTTTTGTTTTTTCCCCTCCAGTCAGTGGAAAGGGTGATTTTTTTATCCCCTCCTCTTAAAAACCCAACCTTGGCTGATTTTGGAAGAGCTGTCAGAACTCTGGGTCAGAGAAGCATTCCAAAGAGGGTGTTTCTAAAGCACATCAGCAAGCCGTCACCCCGGGAGCCACAGGAGGGATGGGCAGGAGGGAATTTGCACACCAGGTCAACACTGCTTTTTAGATTCCCAGGAAAATTGCCTACTCTGAGGTTATTTAGAGGACTCCTGACCACAAATCACCTGGCGAGTCCTCATCACAGGCCTGGGCTTGGGCCTCAGAGGACTGCACACTGGCCGGATAATCCACACGGGAGACCCCTGGGTTCTTGGGCAGGGCAGAGCACATTAAGTCAGGCCAGCGAGGTCTGTGGGCCGTGGTGGGCTGTTCTCTGCAGGAAGAGGAGGGGGCCAGTCCCTCAGCTTCTCACAAAGGAGTCTTCTGAAGGTGAGTGTGACTCGGGGCAGGTTTTCTCGGTCTCAATGTCTTGGTACTCTGTGCCTAAAGGGGAAGGAGGGAAGAAGAGCCAAGAGGAAAAAGAGATCGGTCTTTTCTGGTTTTCCTATTTATTTCTTAGGCTTATCTAATAGCATCCACTTTTGAGTGGAGTGGACAAGAGCAGAGGCCCATGTCAATCAGGTCTTGCTTTTCCCTCCATGTAACCCCAAGGGAAGGCTCCTTGGGTGGCACAGTTTGTGGTTTATTACTAACCTAAATGTTGGTGACTTAAAATCACCCAGCAGCGCTGTGGAAGGAAGGCCTGGTGATCTGCATCTCTAAACATTACAGCCAAGAAAACCCTGTGAGGCACAATCCTACTCTGTATCACACGAAGTTACTAGAATCAAGATTGGCTTGATGGCAATGGGTTTGGTTTGGGAACCCTAAGAGACCAGACTCCAAGCCCCAAAGACCTCTTTGAAGGTCAAATCTTTCTGAGCAGCAAATTGTTCTACATGTTCATATGAATACCCAAAGTGGGTGTGTCTTCTATGAAGACAAATATGATGTACCCCAGTCATTAACTTACCCTTATCTCATGTAAATCACCATGACAAAGCTTGTGTTCTAGGGCTCTAAGTGTTGCTGTGGGCCCTTATTGAAGAGGTGGCTTCATGTCAGAGAAAACCACCTAATATCATAATGCCATGTTTTCTCTTCTAGCAGTTGGACCTGCTTGTTTATTCATCCAGTCACACACATTCACCTGCTGAGTGGAACACTTTCCTTATTGGAGGGAGGTTTTTGAACCAATGACATTCTAAAAATAAATACTATGTCTTCATTTAAAAAAACATTAAAAACCTAACTCAGTCCCTATGATTATTTACAGGCCATGTCAGACTCATTGACCATAATACACAACTTTCCTATTTACAAATGGTAAACAGTTTACGGTGCCCACAGTGGTGCCATAAAGTCCTTGTTCATGTGTTTCTCCTCTTTAGACTTTGACCTGGTGGTACAAAAGGTGATAGTTTAGAAATGTCACTCCTTTCCCTCAGGATTTTGCAGCTGAGCTTGCACCCATATGAGACATACATATGGGTAATTTGGAGCATCTTTTCTCAATTTTCACAGGCTTAAATTCTTGTAGTCTAGGCTCTGGTAGCATAGTGCCTAAGGCACTTGACTGCTAACCAGGAGGCTGGCGGTTCAAACCCACCAGCCACTCCTCGGAAGGAAGGTTGGGCAATCCTACTTCCGTAGTGATACTGCCTCGGAAACCCAAGGTGGGGTCGCTAGGAGTTGGGGCCGACTCGATGGCAAATAACAACATAACAACAGGCAGTTCTGTGGGAAGCTTTAGGAGCAGGGGGCTGGAGGAGGGTGGGGCAGATGCAACAGAGCTGTATTGGTTCTTGCTCTGAATATGACAGAGGGTAATGAGTGGCTAGGTGGCACAAATGAGTAAGTGTTTGACTACTAACCAAAAGGTTGGCGGTTCGAACCCATCCAGAGGTACCTTGGAAGACAGGCCTGGCGATCTGCTTCTGAAAAGTCACAGCACTGAAAACCCAATGAAGCACTCCATGCACAGTGTCACCATGAGTCAGAATATACTTGATGACAACCAACGAATGCAAAGAAAACTGCTGATGTGGCTGTGGCTGAAGAAGAAAGGGAGTTTTTGAAAGGTCTCAAACATTTAATTAATAAAAGGAAAAGCAGTTTCTCAGTTTACATTCCTGTGTCCATAGGCACAGTTTTGCAGATGCTCTCACCTCTCTTGCTTTCCTGAAACTTCAGAATCTTTCTGGTGGTGAGAGGCTTCTGATAGCAGGTACCCTGCTGGCTTCAGAGAGGCTCTCCAGCATCAGGCTCTGTGTTCTCACTTTGGTGACTATCAGTATTGTGGCAAGAGCATTGGTTGGGAGCCAGTCAGACCTGGCATTGGCACCTGGAGACTTTTCTAACTACCTGTGTGACCCTGAGATGCTTAGTTTTGCTGAGCCTTAGTTTTCTGATCTGAAAAGTGAGAATATTAATTCTTACTTTATAGGGCTAGGATGACAGGGCTGCTGGGAGTATTCCCTGGGATCATGTGTTTATGGCACTGGATATGTAGCAGGCTCTCAATAAACATGAGCTCTGCATTCTGTTAAAACTAGACAATTTATGACCATGAAGTAATGATGTCCATGAAAAAGATAATGACAACAACCTGTACATCAGTGAGCACTCATCAGATCTGGGTACCATCAAAGATCAACATTTTATGTCTGGAAGTTAACTGGAAATTATTACATCACTGCTGGGTGGCACAAATGGTTTGTGCTTGGCTAGTAACCAAATGGTTGGCAGTTTGAACCCACCCAACGGCACTGCCTAAAACCCCATGGGACAGTTCTTCTCTGTAACACATGGGGTCACCATGAGTCAGAATTGACTCAATGACAACAGGTTTGGTTTTGATTTCTTAAAGAAGACTGAATCTTGTGTTTAAAAGTCTGTAAGTTCTATTTAAACAGTGTGTAGTAGGGTTGCTTTACTTTAGGAGTCTTAAGACCCTGGTGTGTATTTTTATGAACACCCAAAGTTTTATTTCTATGGTTATTCACATCATTAAAGTGTTGGTTGGTTTTCATTAACAACAACAACAACAACAGCACAAACCTCCTAGCCTCTTCCATCTTTTAAGGTACTGGACTAGAGTATACTTTATATGTTCAGTTAGGGTTCTCTTGTAATGAAACTTCCTACACAGCATACTTCCAAATCATTTTATAGCCTTAGCTGATTCAAAGAGTCTTGACAAATATATCCATGAGGGTCATCTTCCAACAGATTAATATGAACTTAAGAAAAACATTATTTGGGGGGATGTGATGCAAGAGTAAAATCTCAACCTTTAGAATGTTAAACCTCTATATAATATACTATGTTGTTCCATTTGTCTATAGCCAAAGAACATAACCACTTATAACTTATGGAAAAATATTCAAACCTGGTAATCATCAAATCACTAGCGTGAGTTATTACAAAAATAAAAATTCTAAGAAAGTCTGTTCCTAAGAGAGTAGCATCTGAGAGTAGAGTAGACTTATATCCAACCAGTGGCCAGCTTTGCTGTATTTGAAGCCCCTAGGTCAGGGCAGAGCTCCTTGTGGGGTGGATGGTGTGGAGGCAGTGGCCTTGGGTTTGGGAGGAGTCTGGGGTTTCCCCTCTGGAGATGCCAGCTGCCACTGAGCAAGATTTCCCTGGCATTTTGGTGCTTTGAAGGTCCATTCAGAATGGAGTTGAGTGGATAAATTTCCTACTTCCTTTTAATGTCTCCACTTCTGGTAGAACACCTCATATAAATGGATCACTAGGCTGATGGCTCAGAGCTAAGACTAGGAAGGACACAAGAAGGGGCATCCCCAGAATACAGCTGCTATGGTACCCTGGACCTGTTATATCCGGCAGCATATGAGAGCATGCAGGGTCTCACAGTCCACTGGGTTGAGTCTTCCTGATAACACAGTCCCTTTGGATAGGAAGGGTCCCTCAATCTTGCCCACTTGGGAGGGAATACCCACAGTGGCCAAGGATATAGGCTTTGGATTAGACCTGGGTTGGAATCTCAGTTCTGTCACTCCTAGTTTTGTGACTTGAGCTAATTATTGAAGGCTTCCAAGGCTCATTTTAAACCAAAAAACAAACTCACTGCCATTGAGTTGATTCTGACTCATAGTGTCCCCCTTCGGGTTTCTGAGGTGGTTAATCTTTATGGAAGTAGATTGCCTAGTCTTCCTTACACAGAGTGGCTGGTGGGTTTGAACCACCAGGCTTCTGGTTAGCAGTCAAATGCCTTAGGTACAGCACCACCAACTGGAGCTAATAACCATTCTTGAGATTGTTGTTATGTGCTGCCGAGTCAGACCTGACTCATAGTGTCACCTCCTTGGGTTTCTGAGGTGGTATCACTACAGAAGTAGATTGCCCAACCTTCCTTCCGAGGAGTGGCTGGTGGGTTTGAACTGCCAGCCTTCTGGTTAGCAGTCAAGTGCCTTAGGCACTATGCTACCAGAGCTCCCTTCTTGAGATTAAGTGAACTGATTATAAATATATAATTACACATACATAATACACATGTGCACACACACACACTATGCTTGGCCTAGCAACTGGTTCAAAGCAAGTACTTGATAAGTATCAGCTATTATTATTATTACTTTTAAAATTTTTATTTTTTATTTCAGTTATGACTCATGGTGATGTCATGTGTTGCAGAACAGAATTGGATTCCACAGGGTTTTCTTGGCTGCAACCTTTCAGAAGCAGATGCCTAGACTTTCTTCTGGGGCACCTCTGGGTGAGTTAGAACTTCCAACCTTTCAGTTAAAAGTCAAGCCCTTAATGTTCATTTCACTCAGGACTCCTTACCTTTTATTCCTGCTTACCAATTATTCTACCTGGAACATCTATGAGAGCTTCTTAGTGACAATGTTTTATATTGGTGGAGGAAATGGAAGGGATTTGAATTTGGATGTATCTGAATTGGCTCTCTTTTTCCTAGATCCCACAGATACCTCCCTACCCCAACACCCAATTCTATCATTTAAGAAAAAATATATATATTACTTTGGTAGAACTGCAGAGTGTCTGGAGTTGTAAAGATAATGTATTATCTTCAATTATAACAACAAATGGTTACTTACCTCATTCTTGGAAAAACAGGTATCTGAATTAGATTCTTGTGGCCAAGAAAGTCAGGGTTGGCGGACACCTAGCTTGGACACTGTCCAACACATGATTCAGTCTACACTACAGAAGTGTTTTGGGCACTGAGATCACCTCACCTATGCTCAGTTGCTGTTGTTGTTGTTGTTTTGTACCATCGAGTTGGACCCAATTCATAGCGACCCCTCCTTGGGTTTCCGCGGCAGTATCACTACGGAAGTAGATTGCCCCATCTTCCTTCTGAGGAATGGCTGGTGGATTTGAACCACCAGCCTTCTGGTTAGCAGTCAAGTGCCTTAGGCACTACGCTACCAGAGCTCCCATGCTCAGTTGCT